GGCCGGGGGCACCGCGCCGGGTCGGGCCCGCGGGCGAGGCTGCTCCCCGGGTCAGCCCCTCCCCACGCACCCTGGCCGCGGCCCCGTCTTTGTGTGGAGATGACAGAAAAGAAACATGTGACAGTCTCTTAAACAAACTGCGGAGAAATGTCACAGAAATGAAACTTTTGGAAACGGGGTGGGAGGCGGGTCGTGGCGCGGGGGCGTCCGGGGCAGCGCAGGGGGCAGCGGGGCAGCACGGGAGGCCGGGCCGGCGCCCACCGCTCTCCGAGGGCTTCAGGCGGGGCGAGCCTGGGGCTGGGGCCCGGCCCCCTCCCGGGACCGTGGCCTGAACAGCACCCTGGGGTGCCCCAGGCATCTCTGGGCCTCGGGCTTCTCTCAGCCGCCGGGGGGCGCGGAGGCACCCGGGGGGCTCAGGACATCCCACCTCTGCGCCCCGCTCCATCTCCAAAGCCCCCCCACCCAGCAGGGCCCCACCCCCCGCACAGGCCTGGGCCTTCCCTGGACCGGGCTGCCGAGGAGGGCGGCTCTCCGGACGCCCCACCCCGGCCCCCACGTTCCGCCCCCGCCCGCCTCCTGCTCGCTCCCGCGCTCTGGCCCCCACGGCCCAGGCTGCCGGGACACCCTCACTCAGGAGTCCGTGAGGACGGATTTCCGCTCTCGGGGTGAACGCCGAGGAGCCGGATCGCGTGGTGAGAAGCCGCCGCCCTCCCGTCCACGCGTGGGGCGTCCCTGGGCCTCGGCCGCAGGCGTGTCCTGGCGTCCGGCTTGTCCCCATGGCCTCTGCCGGGCGCTAGCCGCTGCCCGTCCTCCGGGTGAGGACTTGCTCGGTCTTCACCTTTTTTGCCGGGTTGCCCGTTGGCCTACGCGAGGCTGCAGTTTGGTGCGTTCTGGAAACAATCCTCTGCCGCGTGTCTCGCAAAAATGTCCTCCCCGGGCGGCTGCTCAAACGCTTGCTGTGGCATCTCTTCAGGGGCTCCCTGAGGCGCGGCAGGCTGAGCGCAGCGCTGTGAAGCCGTCCACAGCCTCCACAGCGTGGGTTCGGTTCCCGGCCGCCCGGGGAGCTCCGACACGGAGCAGCAGACTCTCCCGTCTCCCCGCGGCCCCCTCAGCAGTGGATCTCAGTGGATCCGCCTGTTCTGCTCCCCGCTCTGTCTCTGGGGAGTCCTCTGGCCTGTACCCCCACACCTCTGGCCTGCACCCCAGTTCTTGTGTGCATAAATATATCTTCAAAAATAGAACCCAGAAAGAAGCTCGGGACCTTCTGGTCCAGACCCTGCTGCCGGCAGCCCTCTGGGCCCAGGGCCGCCGCGGAGCCCCCTCGGTGGGCAGCTGCGGGCGGGCGGGGAATCCTCACCCACCGCTGAGGCACCGTGGCTGCGTCCAGCGCAGCCTCCCCTCTGGGTGACGGTGGCGTTTCTAGATCACCCCTCTTCTGTGGGCTGCACACCACCCGCGCCCCGCCGGCCGCGCCGACAGCCCACCCACCCCGCGCGCCGGCGCCGGGGGCCGCACCCGCACCCCTTGCTGGAGACAGACGCCAGCCGGGTCCCCAACCGCCCGACAGCGGCGGAGTCAGCTGCGCAGGTGCTCACAGGCGTCCCGGCGCCTGCCAGGGGCGCGTCTCCCCGGCCCGATGCTTTCGGTGGAAGCTTCCGGAGGCTGCGGGCCCAGCATGCGCAGGGCAGGGACCCGCTGGGAGACGCGCCCTCGCCCCCTCCTGCGGCTCACGGAGCTGCCGGCGCCGCGGAGGACCTGAACCCCTTGCCGAAGGCGCCGGCGAGCTGGCCCGCTGGCCGGAAAGCAGGCCTGAGGGTGGGGGGCACTCGGGACGGGGGGGCCGCGCCATCACCCACGCCCCACACCCCGCGGTCTCCGCACACCCACAGGCAGCCCGGCCCGGAGCGTGGGCGCTGACGGGGGTGCCGGGGAGCATGGTGTGACCGCGCCCCCCGCGACGGCCGCGCCCAGGGGCAGAAGCCGCCCTCCTGCCGGCCGGGGCAGGGCCCCCCACAGCCCTGCCGGCCGCCCCCTTCACTCATCCCTGCACTACGGCCTTCAGAGGGCAAATTTTAGGGTATTTTTACCTTTTTTTTTCCTTTCAACTGTCAGCGTTGCAGCGGCGCGGCCTGCAGCTCACCCGCCGTCAGAGCAGCGGCGCCGGCCCCAGGGCCGCAGGCGAGCGCGGAGGGGGGCCCGGGGAGCGGGCACCTGCTCATCGCCCCCTCAGGCTCGGCCCGCGAGGAGCCTCACGACCTCACACCGTGGGCGCGGCCTGCTCCCCACACCCCCAGGCCCGCCCGCCCGCCCCCCCCGAAGGCTTCTCCTGACGCCCCGGCCCAGCGGCTGCCGCGTGTTCCGGCGCGTTTCTGCCGTCAGCGCCCCGGAGGGGAGTAAACGCTTTCTAAAGAAATTTAAGTCGTATTTTCCAGAAGTGTGTTCTGGGATTTTAACCTTCGGGGATGCGAACGCTCCGGGCGCCACGCCGGCCGCCGTCTTCCCGGGGCGGCTCCCGAACCCCGAGTCTGCTGCACCCCCGGCTCCGCTGTGTCCTCGCCTCGCTCTTCTCCAGCCCCTCAGCTTCCTCCGCGCTTGCGCGCGCCCGGCGGGCTTTATTTCACATGTTCACCCTCATTTTTCCACCTTCTGAATTTCCATTTGTTTCCATCTTCTTGATCCTTCAGATGCGCTGAAGGGTTTGCCGTCTCCTCACAGGCCACGCCGAGGCTCCGCGTTCTCCCCTCGCTCCACGGCCGCAGCCCAGTCTTGGGCGCTCCTTCCCGGCCTCGCGCCGTGCCTGCCCCCCCCCCGCCACGGGGTGCACGCGCGTGTGCAGGCGCGGCACACACGGGCTCCGGCCCCACGCCCTCTCGGTGCCGCGGCCACCGCCCGCAGCGGCCGCCTCAGCCCGCACACGCCTCGCGGCTGGCGCTCCTGCCGGGCCGGCCGTCTGCAGACGCGCCTCGCGCGCCGGGGTCAACGCGCTCTGCTCGTGGGGAGCGACATTCCTTCCACGAAGAATTGAAGATCAGCCGCTCGCATCTGAATCTCTCGTAACCACCCACCCCCCCGCCCCGCCCCCCCCCCCCCCCCCCCCCGCCGCCACATGGCCACAGGCGAGCGAGCGGGCCTGTCCCGCTGTGCCGGGGCGGCCTGTCCCGCAGGGAAGCCCCTGCCAGCGTGCTGAGGGCAGGCCCCGGGGCCCCTTCCGCCAGGCGGCCCTCTGTCCTCGTGAACGCCCGCCGCACACCGCGCGGGGTCCGGCCACGCCCGGCCGGTTGTCTCCCTCACGCTGACCTTCCTCATCCTCTTGTCTCCGGCCTGAGCCCGAGCGAGGTTTCTCATATATGGTGCCGCCGCCGTCTACACAGCAGGGCGGCCGCCTCCGGGTGCGCGCAGGAGCGCGCTGTCACGCCCGGGCCTCCCTGGGCGCCTGCGGCCCCGCCGGCCCCCCCCCCCCCCCCCCCCCCGCCCCCCGGCTTCCCCGACTCGGCTGCTCTCTCCCGCTGCTTCCTTCCGCCGCTCTCCTGGAAGCCACGCGCCCATCTTTAAAATGTAGCCCCAGAATTTTATTTATTTTTATTTTATTTCTTTTTATCCCCAGAATTTTAAATTCTTAAGCTTATGTTTTCTAAGATGGTCCCAGGAAAATGGGCTGAGCTGCCCAGGCCCGAGGGCTGCGGCCACTCTGCGCTGCGGTCAGCGAGGGTGCTGGAGAAGCCCCCCCAGGCCCGGGGGACGCGCCCGGAAAGGCAGACGCGCCTCGCAGCCCCACAGCGACGGGAGAGGCGGAGGCCACCGCGCACAGCACGGGGACGCGCGGATCACGCTGGGCGCGCGGCGAGTAACACGCGGGCGTCAGTCAGGCTTTTCAGGAATTTTAATGTGAAAAAATGCCGAGGAATGAGCCCAACAAGACGCCCGAGGCAGGCCCCTTGCTGCCTGCTCCGGCAGCGGCAGGCAGGAGGCGCTGCCAGGGGGGCGCTGGGGCCCGCGGCCACACACGGCAGCTGGCCGGGCACAGCAGGGCGGGCGCCGAGGGCGTGGGGGGACCGGGACCCGCACACCCGTAAGTTTAAAATGGAAACCACTGTGGCAAACCCCGCGCCGGCCTGAGGGTGGCCGACACACCCCCACGGAATGCCACGTCTAGAGGAACACCCGAGAGGGCCCGTGTCCCGGGGGCAGCCCAAGTGCACCCCAGGAGCACGGCAGACCGCGAGCCCCTCCTGGGGGGATCCACGCCACAGAAAGGGACGAGAACGGCCACGGGCGCGAGGTCCTCCCCGCAGGACGGGCAGCCACCCCGCTGACACGGCAGAAGCAGGCAAGAGCAGACTACGGCTAAGAAGTCAGGTGCTGTGCCTGGGATGGGGCACCCGGAAGATTCGGGGTTCAACCTCTCCCTGGGCCCTGCTGGCTTTGCCGTCACCCATGGTCCTGAGGCCCCCGTGGGCTTCAGCAAGACCAAGCGTCCACCCCCGCCAGGCCTAGAGGCGGAGGGCAGCCTGAGCAAAGGCCAGAACTGAGACATGGCTGCCGCAGGGCTGGGCCAAGGCCCTGACTGCAGGCGGGCAGCCCCCGAAATCCTCTGCCCCCCAAAGGGGAGTCAGGGACGAGGGCCAAGCCGGCGGCTGCTCGGTCCCATCATGCCCGTGTCTCACACCTGCTCGGGCTCGGGTCGCCCACGCCTCACGCGGCCTTCGCCATTACGCTCGCAGGAGGGGCCCGGACCGCTCTGTGCTTCCGGGATCCCATCTGGAGAGCGAGTCGCCCCGACAGGCAGGCCTGCCGAGTCCCCGACATCGGGCTGCACGATGGGGGGTCACTCAGCCAACTGGGCGGAGCCCCAGGAGACTCTTGCTGGACGCCCAGGAGGGGGCTGATGGGTGCTGGTACAGGAGGCCCTGACCGGGGGGGAGGGGGTGAGTGGGGTGGGGGGGGCTGGCACCTGTGCTCGTGCCACACCCCACGGAATGGCCCAAGCCAAGAAGTGCTCACAAAAAGAGGCACCCCCGCCGTGCCCCCCCAGCCCCTCCTCCCTCTCTGGCAGCCGAGGCAGGAGACCCGAGAACAGCAGGGGTCAGGGCGGTGGCCATGACCCGAGGGCCATCCGGTCCCCGCCGGCCACACACCTGTGCCAGGCGCCCGCTGTGCAGGCGGGAGCCCCCATCTCCAGCACTGTGGGGGAGCCCCACGGTGCATGGGGGTGCGGTCCTGACAGGGCCCCTCGCTTGGGCCCAGCAACAGGCACTGGCCGTGGGGCCGCGGACGGCAGGGGTCGGGGGTCAGGCTGTGCCTCACATTTCAGTTTGTGTTTTATTCTCTTTCACTCAACAGAATAGAACTTTGCGTTGCAAAGCAGGCGCAAGGGGCTGCCCCGGCGGCCCGGCGGCAGGCAGCGGCCTCTCCAGCGGGCGCGCCCTCGGCCCCGGCGGGCGGAGGTGGTCATTTGGCAAGGCCTCTCCAGGGACCCGTCTCGGCCCACACGGCTGGGCCTCCCTGGCTCTCTTTGGTATCTCGGAAAACAGGCCGCCCGCCCGGCCAGGCCCTGGACCCCATCCGGGCCCCGCCTGGCCAGCTCCCGGCAGGCTGACCCCAGCCGCTCCGGCCGGCTCATCTCTTGTAGTGATTGGGGGCGTCGGCGAAGGCGAACTTCAGGCGGTAGGCCTCGGCCAGCAGCAGGCTGACGTCCTCGTCGCCCCAGTGGGCCGTGGGCAGGTTCTGCAGGAAGAGCAGCAGCTCCTGGGGAGAGAGAGGCCGGTGACTCACTGCGGGCACCGTGCGGCCCGGGGGGGGCCCGAGGGGCGACGGGGGCGGCGAGGCCTTGCAGCCGGGAGGGGCTCCAGACGGGCTCTCTCTGGAAGTCAGGGAGGCAGGGCAGCTCTCGGCGGTTCCGGAGCATCTGCCAGGCGCACCTGCGGCCTCTCCTTGCCCCTCCTCCCTCAGGCCAGGGCTGGGCACGGGGCAGGGGCTGGGGCTCTGGGCTGAGGTGCCGCCCTCCTCCACCCCACAGGTGGCAGAGACCAGCAGGCCCCACGGCGCCCCGCCTGCGGGACGCAGCAGCCCGCAGACCCTGCCCAGCCGCTCCTCGCAGCCTCCTCCCGGGTGTCCCGGGCAGCTGAGGGGGGCCCACCACCGTGCCCACCTCTGCCCTGGCCGTCTCTTGCCGTGGGGCCCCTCTGAGACCCCCACAGCCCATGTGGCTGGGAGGACCGCGGTGGCGCCCTGCACGGATGCAGGACGGCGGGGCGCGGGCCTCGGCTTCCTGGCGACAGGGCTCCTCGTTGCCACCTGGACTGCCAGGCCTGGCACGCGGGAGGTGGGCCCGCGTCAGGTGTGCTGCTCTCAACAGACGGACGCGTGCCGCCCACATGGGCCCTGCATCCCCCGCCCCGCCCCAGGCCGCCCCACTCCGCGGCCGCGCGCTGGGCCTGGCTTGATGCCCCGTCCTCGGTCCCATTTCCTTTTGCATTTTGGATACTTTCTGGGGCCTTTAAATTGAATTCACGGAGCAAATTTCACTGGCAGAGTGTCCCCGGGGACAGATCAGCATCAATCTGCTGTCTCTCACCATTAGAGGCGACTTACACGGTGCCAACCCAATTCTGGGCAGGTCGTAAATAAATACCGTTGGCTTTATTTTTAATCCACTTCGCTCCATATTATCACGACCTCGCTGCTTGCAAGGTGAGGAGCAATCCCCTCCCATTACGGCCACGCCGACTCCGCTGCACACTCAATTTCAGAATCTAATTTAGTCCCCGGGTTCCCTGCATGGAGGGAGAATAGAAATGCCCGGGCCTCGCAGCCCGCAATGCTAAAGAAGGAAAAATCTATCCGGATGACCTTTCCGGGAGGCAAGGAACACAGCCGAGCCCGCCCTGAGAGCCCGTTTCTCTCTGAAGAGGGCTGCCCGGCCCGCGCGCGGGCTACACGTCTGCACGCCTCAGCGCGCCGGCAGGGCCGCCGGGAACACCCGGGGACGGCCAGGATGGAGGGAGGGCCCGGCCGGCCCCAGCCCCGTCCAGCCAAGAGGAGGGGCCGTTCCTCCGAAACCTTAACCTCCCCCAACACCGGCAGGACGGAATGAAGGACCCGCCCCAGACTGGAGGAGACCCGAGGCCCCGCCCTGCGTGCGGGAGATGCGGCCTTAGGCCGGGCGGCCGGAGGAGGAGACGCTCCTGCACGCGCCAGGCCTCGCCCCGGGGCCACGAACCCGTCCTGGTCACAAGCTGGGGGACCTATCCCGTCTGCCTTCACGGGATGAACAGGCCCCGAGCACCCCGGCCGCGGCGGCTGGAGTTCTGGGGCCAGAGGCTCCTCGTGGCCTGGTCAGTCCACAGAGGTCTTCGCAGAGCAGAGTCTCCCCAGCGCCGGCAGGGTGGGCGCTGCCAGCTCCTGCTCCCAGCAGGGGTGGGGAGGGGGCTCCGGTCCCGGACCCGTCCCCAGGAGACAGAAGGGGCCCTACCGGGCCACGGCCAAGGTCGGGCTCTCTCCCCGCACCTTCTCCCAGACCCGTCGCCCAGGGGACAGCGCGTGGGGGGACAGCGCCCGGGCGGAGCGTGCAGGAGCAGCCCTGGCACGTCTGTCCGCTGGGCTAGCTCCAGGCGCGAACCCAGGCGAGCCCACCTCGGCCCCATGCGGCACCTCCAGGCCCCAGCGTCTGATCACGGGGCGCAAGGGCCCCCCTCAGCGCAGCGATGAGGATAACAGGCCCGGAGCACCTGTGTCCTGCGTTCACGGCGGCCGGAGAGACTGCCGCGCCGGCCCAGGGCAGACGCTGAGCCCCAGTGGGCTGCTGGCAGGGACGGGGCTCGGCGGGCTGGGGAGTCCCCGTGGGGGTGCCCGGGCCAGAGGTTCTCGAGCTGCCTGGCCCTATGGGGAGGTCCCGGCGCCCTGCAGAAGGGCACGAGGACCGGTGCGCGTGCCTGGCATGGCAACACCACACCAGGCGGACACATGAGCTGCGCCCACGCCCAGTCTGGCTGGGCCAACGACCCTCGCTGAGAATTCGACACACAAATGAGAGAAGAGCAAAGATATTTTCTTTGCATGAGGAATTAAAAGATCAGTGCAACGGCCTCTGTGTGCTTTACCTCAAAAAACAAACACCCCAAAATTGAATAGAGAAATCCTATCTTGTTTGCCCTGAAAATCCTCAAACTAATTAGGGTAACAGAATGAACACCCCGCGCGCACGAGGGCTTTCTGGGTGGAACGTGGGGCGTGAGGCGGCACCTTCCCTCACCCCCTCCTCTCGTTTCACTCTCGGGGGCATCAGGGTGGAGACGAGCCAAGGATCCTCACCTCCTGCTGGGGCCCTGGGGGCGGGCGCGGGGAGGTTGGTCCAGGCACCCGCAGGGACCTGGTCTGGGGGCTTTGGAGGGAAGGGACAGTGCACCCTTGGCCATCGCCTCCTGGGTAAGGGTGGCCCCACGCCAAGGCCCACAGGCACTGCCCCGGCCCCTCTATTGCGGTCTCGCCCGGAGACCAGCTGCTGCTGAACAAGCCCGCAGCAGGGACACAGGGGTGTGGGCACTCGGGCAGGCTGCGGGGCAGGGGCTGCAGAATGGAGGCTTCTGAGGGGGCCAGAGCCCCCCGGGTGGGAGGGCCGGTCTCCAGGAAACGGGGGCTTTTTGCGGCCACCCAGCCTCCTACCTCCTGCTTGAATGCACCTCCAGGGCCGGCAGTGCCCGGGGCCGGAGCCGTGAGGGGCACACAGGTCAGTGGGCAGGAGGTGGGCGAGCGGGAGGCGGCATTCTAACGAGGCGGGGATGCAATTACGCTTCTTGGGGGAGGGAACAGATGAGGCTCTCCAAGCCGATCTGCCTTAGGTATCAAACACCAGTAATGAGGTAATAAGGGCCTTTCAATTAATGACTTGAGTGGAGGGATCACCTTAACAGCAAGACGAATTCCCAGGCAGAAACGCACAGGGAGAGACGCTGCCAAGGCCTGGCTCCGGCTGCCCCGGGCGTCACCTCCGGGCAGGCTGGCCCGATGGAGACCTCTGGGAGGATCGGGAAGCCGCGGGCGCCAGGCCAGAGGAGCAGGGCTGAGCAGAGAGGCCACCTCCCAGCAGGCAGAACAGGCCACCTTGGTGCAGCACAGGAGCTGTGGCCGCCACAGCACAGGCCAGGGTACAGCGTGGGCATGGTGGCACCGGCCACCTGGAGCTGCTGCCCACCCCTGCACCACGGCCAGACCCCACCCCTCCCAGCCCTGTAGCCAGCAGGGGGCGCCTGGTCAGAGGCCGGCCACAAGGCACGTCCTGGAAGGGCCTGTCCATCCTGCAGGTTGACATGTCCCCCAAAAAGCCAGCCTGCAGGGCCAGGGTCTGTGCATCCCATGGGGACACGAGGTGGAGAGGCAGCCCGCGCCAAGCGCTGACAGCGTGCAGCACGCACGCCCAGCCAGGGCCACGCCTGCCACATGGGAGGCAGCCACCACCAGCACAGCAGCAGAACCACCGCAGCCCGCAGGAGGAAGGGCTGGTTCTTCAGAGAGCAAAACAGGACAGGATCAGGCCTTTCTGTTGCCTGTTCCGCAGAGTCTGAGGGCAAGTGTGCGCGTGTGCATGTGTGTGCATGCGTGTGTGTGCGTGTGTGCCCATGTGTATGCAGCAACAGCAGCTGCAGCAAGCCCTCCCCTTCCGTCATCTCAAGGGCCAGCCCCGCCCTTGAGGGCCCTCCCCCCGCAGGGTAATAAGCACCAGCGCCCCCTCATGCTCCCCCTCCTCTTTCAGGGTCCTGAGGGGTCCCCTGGGTGCCCCCAGCCTAGAGAGCACACGGGCCCCCCGGTGTCCTCAGGCAGTGTGGCTAGCACCCTCTGGGCGGCGGCCCCAGACCTGGACACTGGCCCCGGGCCTGCGCTCCAGGCCGCCCGGACAGACGCCTGTGGTCACTGTGCTCCCTCGCCGGTGCCTGAGCTGGCAGGGCCAGGCGAGGCTGCTGCAGCAATGAGGCTCTGGGTTACGAGCAGATGGACAGATGGACAAAGGGAGCAGAGCGCGCCTCCCAGGCCGCAGAGGAGCGGGCTCCACACTGAGACCAGCCTGCGGGCAGCACCCGCGGCAGACTCCCGCCGCCCACCGCAGAGCGGGAAGGGTCACTGCCAAGCCACCAGTGCTGTCCGGGCAGCCACTTGGAGGGGCGGGGCTTCTCGAGGAAGAGACCTGGCTGCCCTCTGACACGACAGGCCCTGTTCTCTGAGCCTCAGCCCCGCACCCCGAGAAGGCCCCTTGGAGAAAGTCGGGGCCCCCGGGGGCACTGGGGCAGCAGGGAGGAGCCTGCGCAGCCCCCTGCAGAAAGAGGGGTTGGCCAGAACCCCAAGGGTGGGCTTCTCCTGTCTCTGACCCCCAGCCCCCGCGGCCCTCCCACCTGCCAGAGGCAGCAGTCAGGCCACCTGCGCCTCTGGCCTTGGCTGGAGTCCAGAGGAGCCCAGAGGGGCCGGCCCCGCTGCTCTCTGCCAGGCAGCGCCAGGCCTCCCCGTTCCTCTGTGAGCGCACCCCCAAGGAGGAACCTCCAGCCTGAGTCAAAGCCCAGTGGCCCCGCGAGGCCCTGCCAGACCTCAGGCGGCAGCAGTGAGGGTCCTGGGTGTGGCAGGTCAGAGCAGCCGTGGGGCCGCACTGACCAGCCTCTCAGAGGCATTGATGCCCCCCACAGCCCAGCCTGCCCCTGCCTGCAGGCTCTGCTACCCACATGTCCCCTGCTGGGCAGGCCCCTCTCCTGAGAAGCTCGGGACGCACGCTGGGCTGCAGGAGGCCGGGGCGGGCCCTCCGAGCGATGGCCACAGCAGGCTCGAGCGGCCAGTAGGTCCCGCAGACACGCAGCCCCCGGGCCAGCAAGCGGAGGGGCGCTCAGAGCACACGGAGGCACAATAACCCGCTTAGAGATTAGCTGCCAATTGACCCAATTTTGTCTTTGAAATGTCTTACAATGGTAAAGATGATTGATCTCTGCCTTGGCATTTCGTGACATTTGCTGCCAAAGGAACCAGAGCACACAGGCCGAGGCAGCCCCGCAGAACCCCACCGAAGGCGCCTGCACCACCGCCGCCGGGCCACGGGCCTCGGACACCGCCCCTGCGGCCCACACCCCAAGCTAGCCATGGACACCGCGTGCTGACCCGCACAGCCCCACATGCCGCCGCCCGGGCCGACGCAGGCGCAGCCCGGGCCTCCGTGCGCCGCAGGAGGGTGGCAGTGAACACAGCGGCGCCCCCCAAAATCTCCCATCATCACCCCACGAGCTAAATCCTAGTAAACATCTCTCCACGGAGAACCGAGCCGCTCTTACCTGGAAATCCCTCTCCTGCAGGATGTCTCTCCTCCAGCGCACGAGGAAGGCGGCGCAGACGTACAGGTGGAAGCGGGAGAAGCCCTCGGGCTCGGCCTGTGGGGAGAGCGAGACGGGAGGCGTGGGCGAGGGTCCCGCCCCGGCCACAGGCCCTCGGAAGGCCCAGGCCGCTGGCCCTCAAGACTCGTCCCACGGACGCCGCCCGGTCAGGCCAGCCGCTGGCACAGGCGAGTGGGCAGACGGCCCCGGCGCGACCCCAAGCGCCACCTCCTCCAGACGGCCGAGGCGGGGCCCCGGGGACGCAGGCCAGACCTGGCCAACCACGTTTAGTAGCCGACGCCGCCTGCGGCCAGAAGCTGCTTGAAAACGCGCGGCTGTTCCTGCGGGGAGCCCGCGCGGCCCCTCGGCCCGCAGCGGCCAGCGGGTCCCCAGAGCCGGGGCGGCCAGGCCGAGTCCTGTCGCGCTGACTGCGGCCGATCTCGCAGCCCGGGGCCCTCCACCCCGATATGACCACGTGAGGCCTGCTCGGCCTCCCTCGCCCGTCCGCGCAGCGGCCCGCTCATCTGCGGGCCGCTCCCGCCTGCGCCGGCCCTGGGGCCACGGCAGCTTGAGCCCCGCCCACTCTTGGGGGCACGCCCCGCTGGCACTCACGCTCCTTGGGACTTTGTTGCCGACCTGCCTTGAGGCTTGTGCCAGAGGTGGTTTTCTTTAGGGGAAAACTGCATTTATTTCTGCCAGTGCTGCGGGCACTGCCCCCAAGCCTGCTCCAAACGACATCTCCTGCTTGGTTTTCCCAGGACGAATGAGAAATGCCCACTGGGGCGCCAAACCCACGTGGGCGCAGACGAGGCTGGACGCGAGGGAGCCTCCTGGGCCACCCGCCTCCGCCCCGCGGCCCAGCTGCACCTGCTCTTCCAGCTCTCGAAGCCAGAAGCGGCAGCCAGCCCCAGAGACAGGGCGCCGTGGCGTGCGGCGGCCACGCCGGGTTCAGATTCTCCTCATTTCCAACAAAACTCCAAGCAGGCCTGTGCCGTGGAAGGCGATGCGTGCGCTAAAGTCGGTCTTGTGGAACAGACCAGAACGGCATGAGAAGCCCGAGGACAGGGAGGGGTGCGGGCGCACAGGACTCGCGGCACCCGGTGGGGGGGGGCGGGGGGCGCTGGGCACAAGGCCCCCACTCCGTCCTGACTCAGCCGGCCGGCAAGTCCACACACGCCCGAGCCGCGTGGCAAACACACCCCAGAGCCCTCCCTCGTGCCGCACAGCCCGGGGGCGGGGTAGCGGGGCGGGGGGGGGGGGGGGGGATCGGGACACGGCGTGCGAAAGCCAGACCCAAAGCGTCAGGCGGGAAATGTGAAACTCGGCAGCCCTGACGACAGACGGTGCGGCACTCGCGTGACCAAAGGCTGAGCGCACGCGCGGGCGCCGGGGCCAGCCCGGGGCCGGGGCAGAGTCTGTGCACCCCGAGGACCGACACGAGAAACTATCCAAGCGAAAGGACAAGTTGGCAGGCAGAGCCGAGCGTGGCCGGGGAAAGTGGCCACACCCCAGCAACAGGACGAAGTGCGCGGGTGTGCCAGGCCCAACCCGGGCCAAGAGGAGCTGGGGGCGGGTCCGCAGGGCCCGGGGCCCCAGGGCTCTGCGCGGGTGGGGGCGCGGCGGTGGCACCGGATGCTCCCCACGCGTGACCCAGGAGCGCGGGTGCCGGTGGGAGACGGACGGCTGAGCGCGAGCCGGGAACCGCAGCGGCCGCCGTGCCCCTCCAGCCCGGCGCCTCGCACACAAGGGAGCGCGGCTCGTCCACCCGGCCCGGCGCCGGCAGGGCACGTGAGCGAAGCCATCCAGCGGGCCGCGAAGGCGCGTCAGCGCGCCGCCTGCACAAAGCCGGAGGCCCTTCGCGTGACTCCAGCCGTCCGTGCAAACGCGCCAGCCAGCGGCGGCCGCAGACACGAACCGCGTGGGCGGGAGGGTGGCCCGTGCAGAGGGAGGGCGCTGCAGCGGCGACATAAATCTTAATTTCTAAATAAGAAATCAACAGAAGTGCTGAAGCAAGACGGCAAACAAAGCTGCAGACTCGGCGGAGTCTGGTCGTGGCAAAGTGACAGGAGCGACTTCGCTTCGCGCAGCAGCTCGTCGGCGCGTTGAGGGTTTTTCGTAAAGAAAAAGAAAACCCCTGGGGGCTGATCTGATCTTTCCTGAGATGTGTCGCGCGGAGGGGCCGGTCACGTCTGGGGCCCGGCTCCAGCCCCATCGCTTCCTCGTCAATCGGGTCCCGGGCGCAGGCGCAAGGCAGCCCCTGTCCCCACCCACCCCGAGGCCCGGGGCACCCCCATCTCAGAGCTGGCCCGCCCCCCACGGAGCGGGGCTGTTGGGGCAGGACGCCCCCGAGGCCCTGCGCCCCCCACTGTGGCGGAGGCAGCCCCCGGCCTCCAGGGCACCGTCTCGGGCACCGGCCTGCATCAGGTGCCGCAGCGGAACTGGTTTTGTTCACGGAATGACAGCCCGTGGGCCCAGGACCACTCCGCGGTTAGCTGGAGGCAAATTCCTTCTGTGTGACGCACTTTCTGGACTGCAGGAAGCCGGGCAAAGGAACAGCTCCCTCCTCGCTTTCATAATAGAGAAATTGTGATAAAAGGAACAATTTTTCACCTTTAATTGCGCCATTAAGCTTTCCTTGTAATTTCTGGCACTGAAATAAAAACCAACGGCCTCTGGCACCGGCGCGGGTCCGGCCTCGGGTGCGTGCAGCTGGGCTCTGGGCCGCTCGGGCGGGAACCGCCGCCTCTGCCGGGATCAGGAGCGCCGGCTCGGCCGTGCAAGCAAAGCCTCTGCTGTGATTTCCTGAGGAACGACGCCGGGCCGCCGGGCCGCACAGAGCGGGGGCCAGGAAGGCAGAGCCGGGGCGCGCAGAGCCAGACAGCAGCCCCGTAGGGACCAGCAGGCGCGGGACTGTGACCTGCACGCCGCAGAGCAGCCTGGGCCGGGGACAGCCGGCGGGTCGGCCACGCAGAGGCAGAGGCAGCACCTGGACCGGACCGCGAGCTCCTGCCCTTGAGGGCGGCCTGGGCTTCGGCGTGTCAGTGATCCCCACCCGCAGCGGCCCAGGGACGGTCGCTGTGGTCCGAGGAAAGACCAGCTGTGCGGCAGACCAGCACTGGACAGGGAAGGGGTCAGTGGTGTGGACCTGGCTCGGGAACCACAACGACCACTTCACAACGAGCCTGTTTCCCCGAGGAAGCGTCCCGCATCGCCTGCTTCCAGCGCCTCCGGAGTTGTCATGGAGACGTCGCCAACGGGAAGCCCCCGGCGCGGGGTCCCTTCTCCCAAGGCCTCCTGAGGTGTGGCGGCTGGCCTGGGCGAGGGCAGAGCCGGGCTTTGGGGCCTGGTCTCCGCACCCCCACAGGGCTGGGCTGGCTCCCCGGGAGGGGCAGGGCCCGGGGCCTCGTCGGCTCTGGGCCTCTCCATCCCTGCGCTGGGGTCAACCCAAGCGTCAGAACACGCATCGCTTCTGAGCAGCCGCACGGAATGGCGTCCAAAAGCACCCGATGGGACAGAGTCGCTGGCCCCCAGGGGCTTCGGGCTGTCCAGGGGGCGTCAACGCACGGCGCCCCCGCGGGTACCCGGCCACGCCCGTGTGGGGCAGACTCCTCTGGGCACGTGTGGGTCCGCCCAGCGACAGCTCGGCCGCCAGCGGCTTCCCCGCGTGCTCCCGGGAGGCCCGGCGCTGCAGGAGCTCGGGGCAGACGCGACTGCGGAGCGAGGACACCGGTGTCCCTCGGCCGGGCAGGCCGCGCGGGGCGGCCCCCACGGAGGACGCCATTTCCCGTCTCCTCGTCGGTTCTCCAGCCGCATCTGTCTCCGCCGGGCCAGCGCTCCTGCTCTGACAGCTACAAGAGTCTTTCAATATCGTTTTCCCTGGAATAATTTGTGATCCATCATTTTTATGGCAGCATTAAATTTTAAGAGAGAATTGAGAGGGACAGAAAATTCCTGCATGTTCCAGCCCCAAAGAAAGCCCTTAACAAATTCAGGATTTTCACTTTTACATTCAAACCTCACCCTGGACCCCACAGTGGCCTGAGCATCCGTCCCTCAGCAGGGCGGAGGGGCTGGCCTGCGGGGTGGGGGCGCTGCCGCCCGTGGAACCCCGACACGTGCCACCAGGAAGGACGGTGCCGCGCTCCCCTCACCCGAACAAGACATGGCGGGGGCCCGCGACTCACCGGCAGCACCCAGCGGGCGCCGGGCACAGAGCCCAGCCGGGCTGCCCACTCCCCGGGCCTCCTGGCCGTAGTGCAGCCACGCAGCCCAGGAGCGGGAGCCGGACCCCCGGGAGCGGGAAGCGGCCTGTGTCCCGCCCCTCCCCCCCACCCGCGGGACCAGGCGCTGCCACGGGAAGAGGGTCTGCCGGGAAGCGTGAGGCCGCCTCGCAAAGCCCTGGGCAGCTGCCCTCTGGGCCAGCCTCTCCACCTCTGGCCGCCGGACGCTCCGAGGCCCCACAGCCCCTGTGAGCACAACCCTAGGGCTAAGAGAAAGGGGCTCCAGCCTCGGGAACTGAGGGTTCCCCCAGGACGCAGAAAGGCCAAGGGGACAGCTGCTCCCCACGTGCGGTGCACAGCCAGGGGCGCCGGAGGGCAGGGGGTGCCGGCCCCACACACGCACCCACGCGCTCCCGGGCCCGCACCCACCCAGGGCGCTGCTCCCGCCTCCGAGGCCGACGGTCCCTGCAGCCGATGGGATCAGAAAGCCAGCGGGAAAGCCACGCCCGCACACCAGGGCCGGCTGCTGCCCCGCAAGGTGCCGCGCGGCTGCGCGGGCTGACGGAGCAGTCGCTGGACACCGGCGGACAGTCCCTCGGGCGAGGCAAGGACAGAGCTGGCGCTGGGCCTCGCCCCGGCCCCATGCTAACTCCCGTTTCACCTCTGACTGGAAAAGCACAGACGCAAAGTGGGTGCAGCCGACTTCTGGGCCGGAAAGCCTGGGGGGGCCGGGGCCCCCAGCCTCCAGGGCCCAGGGGACAAAGGGCTGCTGAACAGGGACCTGGGGCCCCGGGGGTGGAGCGCACCTCTCCCCTGAGCCTCAGGAGCCCCCTACAA